ACTTTAAGGGCATTTAAATGGTCATTGGATAAACATATGGATGATAATGGAATAGTTTAGGTTAGATGGGCTTCAGATTGGTTTCACAGGTCGGCGCAACATCGAGGGCCGAAGGGCCTGTACTGCGCTGTAATGTTCTATGTTCTATGTTCCCAAGTCTCTTTTCGGTATTTATGCAGCTCCTTTTTCGAGGTTCTTAATAGATCTAGTTGCACCAGTCATTCAGGCAGTGTGTTGTACATCACAACAGCTCATTGTGAAAATGAGCTCCACTTCTCCTCTCCCCCTATTTTAGTTTTTGCAAATTATCTTAAATCTGTGACCTTTTGTTTTGCTCCTGAAAACAGTTAATCCTAAATTACTCTCAAAAACCTTTCATGATTTGAACACCTCTATTAAATCTCCCCTTAACATTCTAGTTGCTAATGAGAGCAATTATAGTTTTCTTTTCCCTGTCTCTGTATCCTTTCCTGCAAGATTTGCTGATGTTGTCAGGATGTTGTTATCAATTCTGTGACATTCATTTAGACCTGCAGCCTGATTAAGATGAGCTAAGCAAGGGGGGAAGGAGACAGGAATTGCTGTGATAGCTTTTGTTTTGAAAGAACGAGTGTGTTACAGTTAAATGGCCTGAAACAAATTGGCAGCCTGCTTTACAACAAAATATAAAATAAAAGTGTAGAACAGACTGTCAATTTTCTATTGATCATTTTGCATTGCTGTCCAAGATGAATTTCAGCCCCAGTCGCCAATTTAGATATTTTGAGAAAATTAAAACTTCAGTATCACAGGTTATTGGGAGAAGGCAGGAGAATGGGGTTGACAATCATAATCAGCCAAAACTGAATGATGGGGCAGACTCAAAGGGTCAAATGTGGGGAGGCGATGGCCTAGTGGTATTGTCACCAGGCTATTAATCCAGAAACTTGGCTTATGTTCTGGGGTCCTGGGTTCAAACCCTGCCTTGGCAGATGGTGGAGTTTGAATTTGATTAAAAATCTGGAATTAAGAGTCTAACGATAATCATGAAATCATTGTTGCTGACAGTAGCAAAATGCAGTTTAGTGGATTTGGGAGACGATAACACTTTGGACAGGAAAAGGAAGTTGGAGATTGGTTGGGAATGTTTGAGGATAGGTTTGATAACAGCAGATACAACGGAAAGGGTGAGAACTATTAACAATATCAGCTAACATGACAAAGGGAATTTGGGTGGTCAACAGGCTAGGGGGAGAAAGGTCCAAGAAGCAGAAAGTGGATCTGATGGCCATGGTGAGCTCAGAGAGCGCACGATGTTAGGTGGGCTAGAATCGAGTGGAGAGTGAGAGTTCAGGACTCAGAGTGGCGGAGCACCGAAGGGCATCATTGAAGCAGATACATTTTTACAACAGTTTCATGCCCATTTGTATTAGTACAAGTTTCTTTTGTCCAGGTTTCTTAAAATTAAAGTGAATTCAATTTTTTAAATTCAGATGTTAGCACACATACAAAGGGCTGAATGGGTTCTTCCTGTACAGCTTCCTGTTACTGTGAACTCCATCCTAGAATTTCAACTTGCAGTCTCCAATATTACAATTTCAGTAAGAAACAACTAGCCAATGTTACTGACCGTTATCCGACATTCCCCTTCCTGAATTTGCAGCAGCTGGGAGAGCAGCCTGCAGGATTGAAAACCAATCAAAGTTCAAACGTCCAACTGAAGTTTGGGAAAGGGAATGTTCCCAGGTAGAGGGCAAACTACAACCCCTACCAAACCCTTAAAGTGTTATCAGAAGGAACAAGATTGCAGATGATGATACTCATTTTTTGTTTGTTGCAGATGCTGCAGAGAGGGCCCAGGTCTCCTTGCAGAGATCAGCATACATTCAGACACAGACTCATGCAAAGATGTGGATCAATTTATATCCTAATAAAGATGATGCAGAGCTGATGCAAATGGCTATGTGGTGAACCTAAATCAAAATATCCCCAACCTGAGCTGTCTACACCTCTAACTGTCAGCCAGCTCCAGCTGTATTGCTCCTTCAGTACAGACCTACCAACAGGACAGTACTGCCTCAGGACTGACCCTCTGACAGTGCAGTACTGCCTCAGGACTGACCCTCTGACAGGACAGTACTGCCTCAG